GCATTGGTAATAAGTAGACTTACATAATTGAATTAATTGAAACAAATTCGTATACTTGTACTTTATTGAAATTATTTTAGTTCACAGTTAATGTTTCCCTTATTCATGTTTAACTATTTATACGAAGTAGCGAAATGTCCTAATTACTGGTAATTTATATTTGTAGTATTTTCGAAATGAATTGCATTTAACTAAATCATCAGTAATTAAGAAATATGCTGTAAATTCAGATGAATTGTTTAAAAAAACATAGATACGCACGCACCCCATATTCAATATGCAAATGAATTGGTGTCAGCTGGGTCAACTCGAAATATGCCAACGCGCAGTCATCAACTGGTGCAACTGGAAATATGCACACTCCAGTTATCAACTGGTGTAATGAAAATATGCCAACAGTCAGTTATCAACTGGTGAACATAGAAATATGCCAACAGTCACGGGATTATCACCACGGAACTTAAATGGTAACTGTGAAACCATCAAGACACCCAAGAATAACTCATTTTCACACATGGAAAACACGGAATACCCAGCTTATATTAATAATCCGTTTGAGTCACGCGATCATCACCGCGGAACTGCTGGCAACTTTGGCTACGATTTAAATAGGTGTTTTAAGATACCTAATCATGACTAATTTTTCACACCTAAAAGTCACGTATGCCCAGCTTAGATTAATAATCCGTTTGAGTCACGACATCATCACCGCGGAACTGCTGGCAACTTTGACTACCATTTAAATTGGTGTTTTAAGACACCTAATAATTACTAATTTTTCACACCTAAATATCACGGATTCACAGCTTAGATTAGTAATCAGTTTTAACTACGTGATCATCACCAAGAAAGTTATGGTAACTTTGAAACCATTTAAATAGGTGTTTTAAGACACCTAATAATGACTAATTTTTCACACCTAAAAGTCACGTATTCCCAGCTTAGATTAATATTCCGTTTGAGTCACGAGATCATCACCGCGGAAATGCTGGCAACTTTGACTACCATGTAAATAGGTGTTTTAAGACACCTACTAATTACTAATTTTTCACACCTGAATATCACGGATTCACAGCTTAGATTAGTAATCAGTTTTAACTACGTGATCATCACCAAGAAAGTTATGGTAACTTTGAAACCAAAAGGTGTTTTAAGACACCTAATAATGACTAATTTTTTACACCTAAAAGTCACGTATGACCAGCTTAGATCAATAATCCGTTTGAGTCACGAGATCATCACCGCGGAACTTATGGCAACTTTGACTACCATTTAAAAAGGTGTTTTAAAACACTTAATAATTACTAATTTTCACACCTACATATCACGTTTTCACAGCTTAGATTAGTAATCAGCTCGAGCCACGTGATCATAACCAAGAAATGTATGGTAACTTTGAAACCTTTTAAAGAGGTGTGTAAGACACCTCAGAATTACTAGTTGAATATAACCAGAGATTCACGGACAGAACAATAAGACGATTAGCCGGTGTAAGTAACGTGATTATTACCATCAACCTTGGATAACCTGTGAAACCAATCAATAAAGGTGCTTACAAGACCAAATAATTACGTATTTATCGCCACCATCGGTTAACTGACAAAAAACTCGTTGCTTGGTCAAGTGGTTATTTGGTCATAAACACTTGATTTACAGAGGTAAGTGGAATCACGTTACTCCAGTCGCGTGATAAACTGGTGGTTTTTAGGTTAGATGAAAACGTGAACAGGAGTACCTTTTTTGTTTAAATGAAGGCACGTGTCGATAACGTTTAAATCTAGTTCAAAAAGCACTATACTTTAAAATCACTTAAAATTCGCTCCCAAAAGAGGTTACTTTTTGGTGTTCTGTTTATTGGGAATAGTCCAAGAGTGAGATCCCTCAAAATTCCGGTTGCGAGACCCATTGGTTTACGTGTTAAAATATTCTTTGTGTGAGTGCGAAAACCATACAGTGCTTGCATGTCTGCGATTCCCAAATGACTGAAACTTTCAGTAATTTTTCAAGCAAAGATTACAGACAGTGTCTCAGATTTTCCGTGATGTTTTAACCAAGGTTTACTCAATACAAAGATAATTAGGTAAAAATTCTTGATAGATTTTTGTTTCAATTCGGCATATAAAAGACAATCGACTGCTTTAATATTCGAGGTAGCTGGCTCTTAAAGCAGTCGATATCTCTATTTGCTTTCATCTTATGTATCTCACCTTTGTGTCTTTCAGGGATCTTACTTGTAATGACTACAGTGGTATGCTGGGCGCCATACTTTATCGTCCACTCCTGCTTCATACCAATCGACTCCAACCATTGGATGGGCGTGGCGACGATGTGGCTGAGCTATGCCAACTCCGTGTTCGACCCTCTGATCTACACTTTCATGAACCGACGAGTCCGGGCAAGATACCGGGCCATGTTTAGCTGTTGTCCATGAATCAGTCGCAGATCTGTGCGAAATTAATTAAAGGCATCGTTTAACAATGTTAAATCTGAGATGCACGGCCCTACGTGTTATCAGTGTCTGTGATATGGTGTTATATTGAACATCTAAACAAATCGCGCTTCAAAATGATCAAGAAGCGCCTCGAAAAACTAAAAATCTTTGAGCGACTGGTTTTTACCATACTTGTTTTCCCCAATAGACTGTAGTGTTATGAAAACCGTTAGGAAAACGCAAAATTTGGTTTCGATTTCCAATCATAAATATCTTGATAATCAGACAGGCGATCGGCTTGGAAAAAGTCATGGGGTTCCTGACTGACCTAAAGGTTTATGATTATCATTGCAGCATGAACTAAATCCAGGATTTTGTTTCAGAATCTGAGACAAAGTTACCGGATCCCTTTAATGTCATAAAGTAATGTTTGGTTCTCTCTTGATAAGATAATTCTTTTCATTGTGTAACTGTTTCCTTGGTAAGGTAGTCAAGTTAAACCTAGTCTTAATAGAACTTTTTCGATCTCACCCGAGCGACATGTGGATGAGAAACAGTGGGGTTCTGATTGTAAAACACGGGGTGAGCTTTTGGACACCGTCTTAATCAGGCATCCGCAAAAACCTCACCCAGGTAGGTTACCATAACAGCCTCGTCTGTCTCATCGCGATCAGCTGGCGCGCGCTGTGTACATGTATACATTTTTTCACGGCAATGACGTAATTTACCCGGGTAAATATCACCCTGGCTCGTCTAGGGTGAGATTTACCTCGATATTGTCCGGACGTTACCCCGATTGACGTGTCTTAATTGGAAGGGGGTAAATGTCGTCCGGACGTCACCGCGACTTTATTTTCCAGTTAAGACGGGGTTTTAGACAACAACAGTACAGTAAGCCTGACTATATACCGTCACTTTTAAATCTAGAGCGAATGTTCATCACGATTTTCATGACCGGAGCTGTTCTTTTATATCACAATATATCACATGCGCATTATGATATATGATTTTTTTATACACGCTTCTATAGGACTTTGTATATGATAGTTTACTTATTTGACTTGACTTGTGCGCTGTTGTATGATATTTAATTTAATGTATATGTATTACATGTATATAATTATTATGTTTGGTTTTTTGATGGCTACCCCGTGGCACTGTGCTTTCGGAGAATTTCGCTTCCTTTCTCAATTGTAAATATATATTTCATGATAATTTTTGTATTCATTTTGTGAAGGAAATAAATGTATATTGAATCGAGTTAACATATTGACTTAATTGCCTATTCAAAAAAATAAAAAAAGTGTTGTTTTGATTTCATACTTTCACTTTCACATGTCATACTTTCACTTTCACAAGTGTGTCTAATTTTATTTCACTTCCTGAAAATAAAAAATAATGACAGTTCATGTGTTGCAGTTTCGACTGTGGTTAGTTATAATTTATAACGTATACAGTAGGCTTGCGGATGCACCATGTAAGAGAGATGGAGGATTGAGGAGTCCTGAAAAGGACTCTCGGTAATCTTTCTTGAGGGTGTGTAGTCCTGAAAAGGACTCCTCAACCCTCCCTCTCTCTCACATAGTGCATCCGCAAGCCTACTGTATATCTACATCACCATGCAAGCCGATACTGCCATGCATCATCTAAATTTATAACGTGTTGTGAAGCGTATACAGTAGGCTTGCGGATGCACCATTGTAAGAGAGGGAGGATTGAGGAGTCCTGAAAAGGACTCTCGGTAATCTTTCTTGAGGGTGTGTAGTCCTGAAAAGGACTCCTCAACCCTCCCTCTCTCTCACATAGTGCATCCGCAAGCCTACTGTATATCTACATCACCATGCAAGCCGATACTGCCATGCATCATCTAAATTTATAACGTGTTGTGAAGCTGATTAAGAACCGGAGAAAATTCGAACGATTATTTATTGAATTAATGAATAAGTGCAGTAATTCTGATAAAAAGATATGTCAATGATATATATCATCATATTGGTGTGCATATTTTGTCTACTCTTATAGGTTTTAAAGGCATTTAAAACGAGGTGTTCATGTAAGCGATATATTTTTCACAATTATGTTTGTTTACATTAGTATCTTTAGTAATCAGCTTAAATCATTATGACTAAAGACTTTTTGATCGAATTTTATTTCTGCGTTCAATGACGTGATACAAAACATTTCATCATTACAGGAAATATATATAAATATACTTTCAGACAAGGTGTCCAATCTATTTATGCGTTATTAATCATTTTGAGTTGTTTAGATAGAAATATAATGACATACTTGTATGGTGTGTGTGAATGGTGCTCTTTACATTACATACATCTCGAAATGAGGAAGATGGAGGAGGGCCCTGAGGGGGGGGGGGACATATCGTGTATCATTTCCTGGTCATGAGCAGATCAAGGAAGTTTCTTAGTTATATTCAAACATGTCAAAAAACATCTTATAAAGTCAGTTGTGTCAGGCTAGCAGTTTATTTTGGGCGTTTTAGATGGATTAAGGCGCTGTACCTTTTCTTCTTTTGCGTGCATCGTACGACCGAACTACTTTTTGACATCACAATGGTTGCTAATCTTTCAAATGACCATCATGCAACAACCGCATTACCCTCACCGACGTCGTATGATCGTCATCGTGATCTCGTGATCAACCATGATCCGACATCGGTCGTGGCCGTTGTCGAGGGCGTCACCCTGATCGTCATCTTCCTCGGGGCGTTGGTCGCCAATCTGATCGCGATGACGGCGATCCTTCGAGACAAGTTGCTGCGGAAGAACCTCCATAACTGGCTGATCCTCAATCTCATCGTAAACGACCTCGGTATAACGATTACAAGTATGTCTTTCTCTATCGTATCCGTTTTCGACCACGGTCAGTTTCTGGTCAACAACGATGTCATGTGCCTGGTAAGAATATAATTTTTATTGGAGGGGAAGATGACAGAGATAATTATTAAATCTCTATTAACAGTAACTATTTTGAGATAAGTGTACCACAGATTATGAGGGGCATTAATGCAAAAATCCATTTTTATTTTAAGATTTGACCTGCAATAATCAACGTCTGTTCATAGTATTTGTCTTAATTTAAGGGAATTAATTCTATTAACCATCAGTCTAGTAAGTCAGTCCTCTGAAAATGTCAAATTATCACGTATTATCAAGGGTTGGCAAATTTATAAAAAAAAACACATGCATGTTTTATCCCTGTATTGCCAGATAAATGGAACGGGAGCTGTAGGCTTCTCTCTCGGTAACTTCGCTACGATCCTGGCCATTTCTGTAGACCGCTACCTGACCGTTGTCTGGTCCACCCGCTTCCCTCCCACCAAGTCTAGGACCATCGTCTTCATCGTCCTCTGTTATGTGATTTCGTTTATCAACGTCTTGCCACCTTTCTTCAAGTTTCTCTCCGATTTCAAGTATCACCCGGACACCCACCACTGTTCACCCGTCTGGGAGGCCTGTATCTACTACATCATCTGCTTCGTCATTGTCTTCTGCATCACCGTACCCGTCATGGTCTTCTGCTACACCGGCGTTGTTCTGACCTTGAGGCGACAGGAACTGCAGCTTCGGTCGTTCTCTAAGGACAACCGGACAGCTTCTCCTGGAGTTGTGACTACTAAACCCGGCGGAAGGATGCAAATATCAGCTGACGTCACCAGTGACAGGTACACCCAGGCGGCAACCTCAACAGACGCGGTGACCAAGTCCGCAGAGAGCTGCCAGACCGAGGACTATTTTCCATCGGTAGACGCAGACACAGAGGAACCTTCCAACAACGGCGCACTTGAGATGCAGGACCAAAAGGACCATGAAGACGAGAGGACTCGGCGGAAGAAAAAACTTAAGAAGAGAAACCACCAAGTGATGCAAGGCAACCTCAGTATGGAGAAGAGGGTTGCCCTGACAGGTACTAATTTCTCTGATTGAATAACCCTCTGGATTAAATACTTTTTCGTACCTCTACAATTCTTAATATTAATGTCCTTTGATTAAGGGACAGCTAATTCGTGTATCCTCTGGGAAAGGCGCTATATAAATCAAGTTATTATTTTCAATATTATCATTATTATTGTTATTATTGTTATTATTATTATTATTATTATTATTATCATCACTATTCTTATTGATTATATTATCAATTCCTCCAACAATCATCTTTATATTTTGTGCATATTTGCTATCATCTTATGTATCTCACCTTTGTATCTTTCAGGAATCTTACTTGTAATGACTACAGTGGTATGCTGGGCGCCATACACTATCCTCCACTCCTGCTTCATACCAATCGACTCCAACCATTGGATGGGCGTGGTGACGATGTGGCTGAGCTATGCCAACTCCCTGCTCGACCCTCTGATCTACACGTTCATGAACAGACAAGTCCGGGCAAGATACAGGGCCCTGTTTAGCTGGTGTCCAGGAATCAGTTGCAGATCTGTGCGAACTTAATTAAAGGAAATACAAAGTTTGGGGAAATTTGAAAAATTGGCTGGAAAGTGATTCTCTACAATTTAAAAAAAAATATTTAGATGCCCCTGTGGATTTATTATAAGCACTGGAAAATTTAGCCCCTAAAACACTTCTGCTTTTGGGAAAATTGAATATAAACATTTACCGGTGCTCCAGGTAAATTTTGATAAATTTCAAATAGCGCCTACGGCCATACAATGTTAGATAGCTGCGAGCATGAAAATCTCAGAATATGTAGTTGTGATATATAATTTCCGAACGGAAGTAGCCAATTGGTCGACTTAAGTCAAGATTGTTTTATAGCAACATTAATATTTTGACCTTGGGAGGGAGCTATACAACATAAACAGTTTATTATTTACAATTTCATCAATTTAGACTCGATTTCACCGCGACAATGATCACTGAATATTGTCGGATCGCATGCTTCCAATATGTTCATTTGAACCAAATTCATGACCCAATACCAAAACTTTGAATTTTCTGTAAGGTCACGAAGTGATTTTGTGGCTCCTCTCCAAGCAGGATATCCTTATACATCTCTCTTGATAAGGTATTTGTTTTCATCGTGTGTTTCCTTGGTGAGGTAGACAACACCAATACAGAAAGCCTGACTACCGTCACTTTCAAATAAAGAGCGAATGTTCATCGATATTTTATAAAGACCGGAGCTGTTCTTTTATATCGCATATATCACATGGGCATTATGATATATGATTTTTATACACGCTTCTACAGGGCTTTGTATATGATAGTTTACTTATTTGACTTGACTTGTGCGCTGTTGTATGATATTTAATTTGATGTATATGTATTACATGTATATAATAATTATGTATGGTTTTTTGATGGCGCCCCATGGCCCTGTGCTTTCGGAGAATTTCGCTTCCTTCCTCAATTGTAAATATATATTTCATGATAATTTTTATCTTCATTTTGATTTTTTGAAGGAAATAAATGTATATTGAATCGAGTTAACATATTGACTTAATTGCCTAATAAAAAAAATAACAAAGTGTTGTTTTGATTTCTTACTTTCACTTTCACAAGTATCTCTAATTTTCTTTCACTTCCTGAAAATATAGAATAATGACAGTGCATGTGTTGCAGTTTCGACTGTGGTTAGTTATAATTTATAACGTATACAGTAGGCTTGCGGATGCACCATGTAAGAGAGAGGGAGGATTGAGGAGTCCTGAAAAGGACTCTCGGTAATCTTTCTTGAGGGTGTGTAGTCCTGAAAAGGACTCCTCAACCCTCCCTCTCTCTCACATGGTGCACCCGCAAGCCTACTGTATATCTACATCACCATGCAAGCCGATACTTTCATGCAGCATCTAAATTTATAACGTGTTGTCAAGCTGATTAAGAACCGGAGAAGATTCGAACGATTGAATTAATGAATAAGTGCAGTAATTCTGATAAAAAGATATGTCAATGATATATATCATCATATTGGTTTGCATATTTTGTCTATTGTTATAGGTTTTAAAGTCATTTAAATCGAGGAGTTCATGTAAGCGATATATTTCCACAATTATTATGTATGTTCACATCAATATCTTTAGTACTAGTCAATTTATAGCATTGACCATCATTATGACTATATAACTTTTTGATTGAATTTTATTTCTGCTTTCAAGAGCGAAATACAAAATATTTCATCATTACAGAAAATAGATATAAACAGACTTTGAGACATTCAAGGTGACCAATCTATTTATGCGTTGTTAATCATTTTGAGTTTGTCTAAATAGAAATATGACATACGTGTAGGACATGTGTGAGTGATGCTCTTTACATGACATTTTCAAATGAGGAAGATAGGGGGATATAAATCGTGTATCATTTCCTGGTCATGAGCAGATCAAGGAAGTTTCTAAGTACGTGATATATATTAAAAAATGTAAACAAAAAATCTCATAAAGTCAGTTGTGTCAGGCTACCAATTCATTTTGGGCGTTTTAGATTCAACGAGGCGCTGTACCTTTTCTTCTTTTGCTCGAATCGTAAGACCGAACTACTTGTTGACATCACAATGGTTGCTAATCTTTCAAATGACCATCATGCAACAACCGCATTACCCTCACCGACGTCGTATGGTCGTCATCGTGATCTCGTGATCAACCATGATCCGACATCGGTCGTGGCCGTTGTCGAGGGCGTCACCCTGATCGTCATCTTCCTCGGGGCGTTGGTCGCCAATGTGATCGCAATGACGGCGATCCTTCGAGACAAGTTGCTGCGGAAGAACCTCCATAACTGGTTGATCCTCAACCTCATCGTAAACGACCTCGGTATAACGATTACAAGTATGTCTTTCTCCATCGTATCCGTCTTCGACCACGGTCAGTTTCTGGTCAACAATGATGTCATCTGCTTGGTAAGAATGTACTCTTTTTTTGGAGGGGAAGATGACAGAGTTTATTATTAAAACTCTATCAACAGTAACACACCTTTGAGATAAGAGTTACTCACCCCAGATTAAGAGGGGCATCAATGCAAAAATCCTTTATTTTAAGATATGACCTACAATAATCAACGTCTGTTCATAGTATTTGTCTCATTTTTTTTTGAGGGAATTAATTCTATAAACCATCAGTCTATAGTTATTCAGTCCTCTGAAAATGTTGAATTATCAAGTAATCTATCTTATCTTATCTGTTTGGCTGCCAAGTAGTGATTTGTGGATTATGATTACATAGACGTTTTGCCTGTACAGTGAATGACTTTTATATATATTTGGGAAATATGATCTAAAAAATACATTCTGTTTATATGCCAGTATAAGATAGGGTTGGCAAATTATTGTATAAAACACATGCATGTTCTATCCATGTTTTAACAGATAAATGGAACGGGGGCTGTAGGCTTCTCTCTCGGTAACTTCGCTACGATCCTGGCCATCTCTGTAGACCGCTACCTGACCGTTGTCTGGTCCACCCGCTTTCCTCCCACCAAGTCTAGGACCATCGTCTTTATCGTCCTCTGTTATGTGATTTCGTTTATCAACGTCTTGCCACCTTTCTTCAAGTTCCTCTCCGACTTCAAGTATCACCCGGACACACACCACTGTTCACCCGTCTGGGAGGCCTGTCTCTACTACATCATCTGCTTCGTCATTGTCTTCTGTATCACCGTACCCGTCATGGTCTTATGCTACACCGGTGTTGTCTTGACCTTGAGGCGACAGGAACTGCAGCTTCGGTCGTTCTCCAAGGACAACCGGACAGCTTCTCCTGAAGTTGTGACTACTAAACCCGGGGGAAGGATGCAAATATCAGCTGACGTCACCAGTGACAGGTACACCCAGGCGGCATCTTCAACAGACGCAGTGACCAAGTCCGCAGAGAGCTGCCAGACCGAGGACTATTTTCCATCGGTAGACGCAGACACAGAGGAACCTTCCAACGACGGCGCACTTGAGATGCAGGACCAAAAGGACCATGCAGACGAGAGGGCTCGGCGGAAGAGAAAAATTAAGAAGAGAAATGTTCGCGTGATGCAAGGCAATCTCAGTATGGACAAGAGGGTTGCCCTGACAGGTACGAATTTCTCTGTTTGAATAACCCTCTGGATACCATGGGATAGTTGTTCGTACCTCTAAAATTCTTAGTTTGTCCTTTGATTAAAGGACATCTAAACTTTGTATCCTCTGGGAAAGGCGCTATATAAATGAAGTTATTAAAATTATTTGTAATATAGTTATCATTATCATTGTTATTATTATTATCGTTATTAATTTTATTATTTATTCCTCTAACAATCATGATTATAATAAATATTGTGTGTTTATATACCTCACATAAGAAATCCATCCAATTGATTGGTCGTAAATGGAGACGTACGTGATTTTAGCCATTCCCGTAAAGAAACGAAGAATGCCAATACCGGTTAATAGTTCAAGAGCGAGATCCCTCAAAATTCCGGTTACCATGAAAATAGTACAATTTTAGTTTACGTGTTAAAATGTTCTTTGCACGCGCGCGGACACCATACAGTGCTTGTCTGCGATTCCCAAATGATTGAAACTTTCGGCCTTGAGCATATAAAACAGCTAGGCCTCTCAAAGCATTCGATATCTCTATAATATTTGCTTTCATTCTTATGAATCTCACCTTTGAATCTTTCAGGAATCTTACTGGTCATGACTACAGTGGTATGCTGGGCGCCATACTTTATCGTCCACTCCTGCTTCATACCCATCGACTCCAATCATTGGATGGGCGTGGTGACGATGTGGCTGAGCTATGCCAACTCCCTGCTCGACCCTCTGATCTACTCGTTCATGAACCGACGAGTCCGGGCCAGGTACCGAACCCTGTTTAGCTGGTGCCCAGGGATCAATTGGAAGTCTTTTCGAAATCGACTCGTTAAAGCTCTTCGCATCGTTACTGTTTTCATGGAGATAACATCGACACATGACGTCATTGTTTTTAAACATACAGTAAAAAAGCGGTTGACTTTAATACAGAATACCGCTGATTTCTGGATTCCATTTATCATGAATATGATCATCGATCTTAAACAGTCACTCTCAGCTTTGAGGTCTACGACGCGGTTCGTGTAACCAGCGGGTTCTCGATACTCTTGTAAATGTACAAATTTCATTATTTTTTTTTACGAATACATGGACTCAAAGAGAGACGAAGCCGGCAATAAGCGGGGGTGGAATTCCATTATACTAATCTGCTAAATGAAAAAATCGACCTATTAATTGCCATTCGCCTTTTCGGGAGGTATTTCATGTAAGGCCCATCAGGAGAAATACTGATGGTATGTACCAAGAGTCATTAATTATTTTGTTTAAATAATATTTCTTCCGGGAAAAAACTGATTATCTTACAATGGTTTTCCCCCTCCTTCTCTCTCTTAAAGTTCATATTTAACAGGTAGACTAATTGATGGAAAGGCAGCAAGTTAACAATGTCCGCGATTATTAATGATGTGTTTTAAAGTAGGCATACTTTAATCTGTATTAGTTTCAGAAACTGAAAACAGTGTAAGCGAAACATATTTTGAGGCCTCTATCTCCCAGCTGTATTGTATTAGGTTTAAACATAGTTATTGATCAGCCTACTTCATTTCAACAGGAAAGTGACATCCTTGATTTCAAGTAGCTCCAATTAGTTGTGCGTGATATAATGGTCTCTGAGCTGTTAATGCGAAACCAAAACAAGTGTAATGCGAAACAAGTTTTGATGGCTCCGACCTCCAAAGTTTTATGAGATTTACAGAAAGTTCATTGAATACAATAAGTCAAAGTTTTTCCACTTATCGACAGATTCTGATTGATATAATATTTGCTAACATAAACGGTGTTGTATCCCTGGGCAACAATGATAATGCCGTCCCTCATGTCGCTACATTATAGTTGTACTTGTGTACACGAATGTATTCTAATCGCAAGAATGAACGTAGAGGTCGTTGTTCAGATAAATCCTGGCATTACGGCGTTTTCTTTTCGATGAATAAATCAAAAGTCTGTGACAGTTATGAATAGAAAAGTTTTCGATTTGAATTTATATTTATTCAAACTAGTTTTCAAATACGAAATTTTGCCGGACTTTCTTCTTGGCACGTTGGGAATCAATGCATTTAATTCTATGCGCCAAAAATCGGTTTCGATCAAGTTTTTTGGCCCTCTTTAAAAAAGAATGAATAAAATCCATTTTAGGTGATTACACAACCTAAAGGCTTCAAAGCAGTAGGCCGTTTATGTCTGTGTCTGCTTGTCTGTCTGCCTGTCTGTGTGTATGTGTGTTTGTAGAGGAGGGGTGCAGGTTATATAGTAGGCCTAAATGGCACCCCTACTTTTAGATTTGTGCTCCGGTCAATATCAATAATCGTCCCATTTTTCACGAAGTGACGGATAAAATTAAAAGAAAGTTATTTTCGAATAAATCGCTTTCAAACTTTCAAACCAAAATCTCAACCTCTTTAATGTATAAAGGGCAAATACATGTTATATCCTGGGATAGAACATATCTCAATGTTTAGTTCTATGTTTAATTATTTCCATAATTTCTTATATTTTGGGGGGAAATGAGCTGTAAACATAACCGTCACTTTGTGAAAACACGAAATGCAAGAACGCGCTGCGATTTTGTTTTCACGATGTGACGGCTCGTAGCCGCGCGCGTAAAACATACAGGGTTTTCCTCTTGTGGATGGAATTCCCGAAATGGACACTAAATACGGCAAAACGTTATGTTTAATTGATGGACAGATAAAATAACTCGAACTGCGAGATAGAGTACATTTTCCTCTTTCTGTAGCTGCTTTTTTATTCCTCTGATTGAACTTTTAACACAACCGTCATTTCGTGAAAACACAAATTACATAGAACGCTTTGATTTTGTTTTCACGAAGTGACGGCTCGTGGCCGCGCGCGTATAAAACATATGGGATTTTTATTGTGTGAAGCAATTTCATGATAATTAACAATGGCAGTAGTATAGTATAATACACGTATACGTAGGCCCAGTAGTAGAGGTATCATTCTGATCCTTATTATCCTGATTATCTATTTCAATACGTCTAGAGGATAAACTCATGACAATTAACCATTTATCATAAATCATTGTCTTTAAGCTTACCATTATATGCACCTGGCTCGAATTTTGCTTGGGTATTTGGTACTGAATGATTTAAATGGTAAAAATGAACTTGTGTCCTATCCATTCTAGTCTTATTCATTTGCATTATGTTTTATTCATTCAAGTTCTAGTGTTTCTGACTGTTTTCAAGACAATATCTTTTTTGTCGCTCATAGTTCTATGTAGCTTGATATCTCATGGTAATGTTGAGGGAAAAGCAATCCAAGCAACGATTTCTGAATTGTAGCGAACAACATAGGAACAACATATATTTGACATTCATAGGGCCCTGTCTTAGTAAACATTTGATAATAATGTACATAATCATGATGAATATACATTTAAATTCTCCTTCTTCTTCTTCTTCTTCTTCTTCTCTCTTTCTTCTTACATACCCTCCATTTTCTTTTATTCTTATATGCTCTAATCTGAAGTAGGTATCTTGTTTAAAAAACTATTTCTTGTTATGGTATAACAGTAGGGGTACAACAGTAAAGTAAGTATACTGAAACAATGTATATATTCGTGTAACATGTCAATAAGGGTATTTTGCATGGTTTTCACATTCTCTTCTCTTTACTGGGTTTCATTAACAACTCTTATGGAAAGTGGAATGAATGAATTAATGCGGCGACTAGTTCTTGCTTTAACAGATCTCAATCTTCGTCCGCTTCTCAGGTGTATGTACTAACTGGTCATTAAGGGGTGGGTTAGATCAGACATAATGGTTAGGGCCTTAGATACTACTCTTTCCTTACAGACTTCATCTAGGTCAACAGTATGGTTCATTATTTTGCTGGCTTGTTTTACAACCCTTCTCAGCTTTTGTTTGTCACTTTGCCTTGCACTATTAAACCAGATAATGGAATAACATGTAATAGTACTCTGAATTATCGACTGGTAAAAGAGAAACAGAATTCTATATATCGTTCACATGAAAGTACTTTAACTGTCTAAGAAAATACATACGCTGGTTGCATTTTGGTAAGGTGCGCTTCGACTTGTCTTCCCAAGACAGCTTATTGTCGATTTCTGTGCCTAGGTATCTATAACTTTCAACATTCTCCTCGGGAGGGCGATCCTCTCTTGTTGGCACCCACTTGGCAAGGTCCTGGGGTCGGATGATAGACGAAGGTCTATCGGCAAAGTAGAGCAAGAATTCTCGATCGTATTGTATATGAGTTGCAGGTAGTCCATTTTGGAAGTGGATTTCACAGACGAGACATGAACAAAACACAGTCAAACATAACCAGGTGAGGGTCACATTTCCAAAATACATCCTGGTTCGATACACAGTCCAATGTCATATTAGAAAAACATTAATTCTAGACAAAAACAAAACAAAAAAAACACAGCAAGAAGTCATGTCAATATCGGTCGCTACGGTGCAGCGCCCTCGACTCTTAATCCTTGTCTGAATTCAGTTTCCCCCTCTCGCGCGAAGCGTGAAAGCTTTGACGTTTCCTTAGAATATTAGAGAAAGCAGACTATTCATTCTACTGTTCTCGACTCTTAATCTTAATTATCTGAATTCAGTTTTCCCCTCCCGCGCAAAGCGCGGAAGCTTTGACGTTTCCTTTAAATTATTATAGATAGAAGACGATTCCTTGTACCGTTTTCGACTCTTAATCCTTGTCTGAATTTAATTTCCCCCTCTCGCGCGAAGCGCGGAAGGTTTGACGTTTCCTTAAATTATGGGAGAAAGCAGACGATTCGTTGTACTGTTTCGACTCTTAATCCTTATCTGAATTCAGTTTTCCCCCTCACGCGCAAAGCGCGGAAGCTTAGACGTTTCCTTAAATCATTATAGATAGAAGACGATTCGTTGAACCGTTCTCGACTCTTAATCCTTGTGTAAATGAAGTTGCCCCCTCCCGCGCGAAGCGCGGAAGCTTTGGCGTTTCATCAAAATATTAGAGAAAGGAAGCCGATTCGTTGTACCGTTGTTTACTCTAAATTCTTGTTTGAATTTAGTTTTCCCGAAAATTTTAAACCTCTGATTTCTTTAGCTGATATTATAGGAAAGTGAAACGTCGAGAAAATACACGTATTGTAGTTGTAGTCACTCTCGAAGTCGTCACAGCGGATAAAAAGTCACAGTTCGTAGGGGGAAAAAACTTGTCGGCCGACCGACATTATAGTTTATACATCTCACCGACTTCAAACTTCTGCGTTGATATAGTCATGGACCTATTACGAATGGACATTCATCGTTTTCTTAACGAATTCATTGTGATTGTCTCCGTCAATGTCGTCTCAATAACATTCCGTACATGTTTCTTCACTTTGATCTCATGATGGTCACCGCAAATAAGCCGGGACAGAATCAAGATAGTGATTTTAAACATGTTAATCTACATGTGCAGAAGATAATAAATCGCTTAGATCATGGGAACTCGATGTGCAGTTCTGGTTAATAATTGGAAATTTTGTTCCGTGTACTGTGTTCTATTTTTGAAAAACATGTTGATATTACCAGATAGGTTTTGTTTGGATTGTTTGTTATTGAAAATCCCGTTTTCCCCCATTTCCTCATAATATTCCAGAATTACAACGCACAGGGCTTATAAAGATCATGGCCTTCTAATTGCTTTTTAAGGCCATTGGTGTGTGCAAAAGTGTGCAAATCAGTAATAATAAATTTCATATCACCAAAATCGTCTGCTTTTCAACTTTGCTGCTCCCCATTGGGGATGTTTTTATTGAAGACATACTCTTACAGAGCGCACCATCCAAACAAAACCCAAGAGAGTGAAACTGCTCCTTTGTCAATGCCCAAAAAATGCTTACGCAGTCGTTATTGTTAAAACAGCTGAATGTTCTCATTAAAGGGAAAGTCCACCCCCAAAATAAGTTTGTTTCGATAGAGGCAGAATAATAAGAAAATCAGGTGAGTGAAAGTTTGAGAAAATTCTGAATGAAAATAAGAAAGTTATGAATTATTGAAGTTGTGATCAATCAAATACAAATTGGCAACTCTGTGACTTATTATACGAGCTCTCCTTCATTTGCTCTGTGCATAATATTCCATAAAATCATGTTTTCTTCGTTATTGAAGACGGAATATATATTTGTTCCTTGCAGGGGGAGTATAGAAACATATTTGCAATTATTATATTTAGGGTGCATGTATGGTTGAAATTTTTCTTGAGGGAAAATGAAAATTTTAGATTTTTTTAGTACTGAGCAAATGGAAGTTGAGCTCGCATGATACGTCATAGAGTTGCCAATTTGTGTTTGATTGATCACAACTTAAAAAATCCTAACTTCCTTATTTTTAATCGGAATTTGCTCAAACTTTCACTGACTTGTTTCTCTCATTTTTCTACTCCTATTAACACTAACTTAATTTCAGGGTGGACTTTCCCTTTAAGATGCACATAATCAGAAGGCAGTGGCTATCATTGGATCAGAGAAAGAATCACGTTGAATGTCCATCCGTAATAGGTCCATGCAACGTTGTCGATTTGTATCCGTGGTTAGGGGGGGGGGGGGGGGGGGGATGATCGGTGCCAAAATATTTTCGGCAATTGATCAAAACAACAAAGAGGTAGAAGCGTGTGGCAGGTTGCACCCCTCCCTTCCAAGTTATTAACTTTTTCAAGTCACCCTCAATAAAGCACATTTCAGAGAAAATGGGACTCATGTGGGTCCCACACGGGCTTGCTACCTGGGTTATTATTCTCTCAAGCGCGTAGCGAGGATTTTATTATAGGGGGCGGTAGTGAGCACGCGAATCACTTACAGAACGCGCGAAGCGCGCTCCCAAGGGGGATGGGTGCAGGGAGGGGGTGTCCCGCCCGAAGCGCGGAAGCTCTGACGTTTCATTAAATTATTAACGAAAGAAGACGATTCGTTGTACCGTTCTTGACTCTTATTCCTTGTCTAAATTCAGTTTCTTTTGACGTTTCATTAAATTATTAGAGAAAGAAGCCAATTCGTTGTACCGTTCTCGACTCTTAATCCTTGTTTGAATCAAGTTCCCCTTCCTCCGCGCGTAGCGAGAAAGCTCTGACGTTTCATTAATTTATTAAAGAAAGAAGACGATTCGTTGTACCATTTTCGACTCTTAATCCTCGTCTGAATTCAGTTCCCCCCCCCCCTTCTCGCGCGAAGCGCGGAAGCTTTGACATTTTATTAATTTATTAGAGAAAGAAGACAATTCGTTGTACCGTTCTCGACTCTTAATCCTTGTTTGAATCAAGTTCCCCTAATTCCTCCGCGCTACACGTGTAAGCTCTGACGTTTCATTAAATTATTAAAGGAAGAAGACGATTCGTTGTACCATTTTCGACTCTTAATTCTTGTCTGAATTCAGTTTTCCCCCTCCTTCCCGCGCGAAGCGCGGAAGCTTTGACGTTTCATTAAATTATTAGAGAAAGAAGACGATTCGTTGTACCGTTCTCGACTCTTAATCCTTGTCTAAATTCTGAATCCAGTCCCCCCCCCCCCTCTCTTCCGCGCGAAGCGCGGAAGCTTTGAGGTTTCATTACATTATCTATATAGAGAGAGAAGACGATTCGTTGTACCGTTCTCGACTCTTAATCCTTTTTCTTCCTACATCCTCTTCCTTTCTTCTTTCTCTCTCTCTCTCTCTCTTTTTTTTTGGCCGGCGGTTTATTTTTTTTTTTGGGGGGGGGGGAGCGACCGCCCCAACCGCCCCCCTGGCTTCACGCCTGTATCCTCTCTGTCTCTCATTATCTCTCTCTCCCACTCTCTACTTCTTTTTTTTGCACTTTTGCGCTTTGCGCTTAATATTTAGCTCTTTGCTTTTTAACGCTGCGGCTTTGCATTTGGCGCACTGCATTTTTATGTTGCTGTTGATTGAATAAATTGAATACATTCATCAATTCCTGATGAAGCCGTATGAGCGAGAATTCAATTTAATCTTGTCTCATATACAGTTGTCTCATTTACGTATGTATTATGAAAATGATATAGCAAATTAAAATGCGTATATTGATGGTCATCTTGCAAGTAATAACCATTAACTACTCTCGTCGGGCTCTCATTAATTTTTCTCTTCATTTTTTAATTTTTTTTTTTATTGGGGGGGGGGGGATGATTGTACAGGCCATCCCCCCACCTGAAATATGGGGGGGGGGGGGATATATCCCCCCATCCCCCCCTCCCCCCGGGATCGACACCCATGGGTCCATGTTATAGAACACGAGGATCGAGCAAGAATACCGACACAGCTGACCCGACACAGCAACATTATTTACATGTATGCGAGTCTTTCTTTCTCCCTTGACGAAACGACTCCACCCCCCAAAAAACCCTCTCTCTTTTACTCCCCCTCTTTCCGATCCCCCGTTTCTTTGGTTTCCCCTTTTTCCCCCTTTATTTCTTCTTCTCCCTCCTTTTTTTTTTTTTCTTTCTTTCTTCTCTTTTCTTTCCTTTCTTTCCTTTCTTTTCCTGTTCTTTTTTCTTTTCCTCCCCTTCTCTCTCTTTTTCCGCTCCCCCTTCTCTCTTTTTTCCCGACGGGGCAATTTTACCGACAATATCATATATACAATATACAGGTGGGGGTGTCGCACCCCATACCCCCCCCCCCTCCTTTGGAGACGCCCCTGCTTACCTCCCCCTTTTTATTCGCCGGCTGGCTTTTCCACCGCTAAATATTTCCTCACGAATTGGTTAAAAAAACACCCCCCCCCCCCCCCCCGAGAAATTCCTGGATACGCCCTTGCTTAACATCATTATTAGTATTAGTATTACACCTTTTAACAAACTCACGGCGACGCCTATAGTCCGCAAGCTCTAATGATAACTGGATACTTTCATCAGTATTCGCATGTTTAGTTTTGTTGATGCATCCTTTGATCCACCGTATGTCTTATTAACCTCTTTGTCTCCGAGTCATGCCCTCGATCGTGAGGTCACGATTACGGGGATGACAGGGAAGCTTTGATTACTGAAAGGTCATGGATTTATTGAGAGAGAGCATCGAACTTTACGAGACACACCTCCAACACACCGGTATCTGCACAGCGTAGTCTGCGAGACCGTGATTGACGACAAAGGTGAGACCAAAAAAGAATTAGCGATTTTGTGAGTCTAGACCGGCCGGATGTTAAACATCTGCTATTTGAAATATTAATTGTTATGTATTCTAGTCGTTCGACTCAGCTCAAAGCATACTGTTCCATGTTTGTGCTGTCTTTGAGCTACATAGACTTCTGAGAGTTTTTCTTCTCCAATTTGAGCCTTGGGATGGAGACTGCGAGGTAAACAAATATTGCCCTGGCGGGGCGGGACCGGTTTAAATGAACATGGACCCTATTAATACCTCGAGTGTTTTAGAGTATTAGTAAACTTCAATTATTGTTTGCGATGTCGATGTGTGAACCGCGCGGTAATAGTGCCGAGTCTAGAGCTCAATAAGAGGACCCCGCGATGTAGGCCTAGATCTAGTACTAGTCTACGCCTAATCTAGTCTAACCGTCTCCTTTTTATACTTACAAACATGTAGTCTTAGCGTTCCTTTTCTGCAATTATTAATTTCTTCACGATGTAATACAAATTCTGCATCAACGAAATGGCCACTGTATCCCGCTTGATAGTTTTAAAAACGAAATACATCCAGCCGATAACGATTTTTGCCAGGAAGAACCCTCTGCTAGCCAACACGATAACGTACGCCGGGCTGGGAGGACTGGCGGAGTTCACGCAACAGGCTATCAACAGGAAATCCGGAGAACCTTTTGAGACTCGAAGAATCTTCAATTTTCTTGTTATTGGTGTGTGCTTTAATGGACCTGCGGGCCACTTTTGGTACAGATGGCTGGACCGATTCATACGGCCGACTGCCAAGATGGCAGTGGCCAAGAAATTATGCATGGATCAGATACTTTGTGGATCGGCTTTCGTTGCTGCCTTTTATACAGGTAAGTCGACCTAAAAAATATCGAAAATCTTCGTCCTATTGTACTTTATAAAAGCAAAAACAAACAACCAGAACCATGTCATAACAAAAGAAAAAAAAAATATTCAATTGAGTACAAAAATACCCCTAACAAAAAATCTAAATGAATTTTGCTCATTTTCGAAGAATGTCAAAATTGAAAACGGTTTTTATTTCTTCCAATATAAATGTTTCAACGTTATTGTCTTTTGTTTTCATTTTCTATTTTTCTCTCTACAAATCAATAGGACCCTATAGCCTAAGTAAAATCCTTGACATTTGAGAAAAACCGAGCGAGGAACAGGCACGTAGCCACGGGGGGGGGGGGGGGGGGGGGGGGGGTGGAGGCACGTGCCCCCCAAAAAATTTCAAGATCGGTTGAACTTTTTTAGACCCCCCTTTTTTTTTTACCTCGATCGATTAGATGTGCCCCCGGCCCCCCCCCCCCCCCCCCCCCCCACAACATCAAACTCTGGCGGCTACGGGCCTGGCGAGGAAGGGTCTCTCGAAGCAAGGGTTATTAGCCTAATAATAACTCATTGATGGTGATAATAATTATGGTTGCAGTGCCCTCTGAACGGTATTGATGAGGCTACCCTGGCCCCGGGTCACAAAGACACACACACACTGTCCATATACATCATTACATGTAATTATTTATTATCATGAATATCTGAGGTTAACACCCTACTTTAGATCAGTCTGTATTAACAAAAATATTTCACAGTTTACGGGATATTTGATAATAAAGACTTGCGTAGTAGCTATGCCCTTGGTGAATTATCGGTATCAATAATACATTTTCGAAATGTAACCAAATTTATGCATACATGCCTTTGTAAAGCACCTCGATACGAATTATTTCATTCGCCTGTTACGAATAAATGCATCTCACTAGTCAGAATTCAAATTGCATACAACAAAATGTGTTGTTAGGTAGGGCAAGCCATATTGTGTTTGTCCTACCACGGCCTAGGGGTCTTAAACACCTTGATGTGACTATATAGCCCTATATAGTAGAGGAAGGAAAAGAACTGCACCCCTTTTATTTTCAATATATGTTAATAGTCTACCTGAATGTACTCCTGAAGGTATCATAGATATGTATGCTGACGATACGACACTTACCGTCAGTGCAAATGATGCAACTGTTGTGGAAGAAAAATTAACTGTTGCGTTAAACAGAGTCATGGCATGGATTAAGGAAAATCGTCTTGTTCTTAACACTGAAAAAACTTGTGTCATGTTAATAGGCTCTCCTGCTAATCTCAAGAAAATTGAATCTTTCACCATTTCATTAAACGGCAATTTGATCAAAAGAGTTCAATTCACCAAATGCCTAGGACTTTTGATAGATGAAGAATTGAAATGGTCTAAACAAATCGAAAACGTAAGTAAACTTACCCAGAAAAACATTAGCATGATAAAGAGAGCAAAGAGTTTTTTGCCTCAAAAATCCTTAAAGTTACTTTATAACAGTCTAGTGTTGCCACGATTAGATTACTGCTCTGTTGTATGGTCGAACCGATTTCATTCTCATACAACTAAGCTGCAAAAAATTCAAAAGAGGGCCGCAAGAATAATATTGAACAAGACATATGACACACCGTCGGCTGATTTGTTCACAAGTCTTAAATGGATGACACTAGACAAGCGGTTTGAGTTAAGTCGCGTTATGATGATATATAAATGCGTTCATAACTTAGCACCCTCTTACCTTCAGGTAGGCTTAATCAATCCTAATGATGTACATGAGCATCATACAAGGCAAATAGACAGGGGATGTTTACGTGTGCCTAGATTTCACACTGATTGTTATAAGTGTAGCCCAATTGTTTCTTCCATATTTGAATGGAATAAGCTAGATAATTCGTTGAGAACGGCTTCCTCTGTCAATTCATTTAAGAGATTGTTTAAACAAAGTTGTAATTTGTGAATGGCTCAGCCGTACATACACTACGTGCATGTTCTGTAATATTTACATGTCTTATTCACATAATTGCGACTTAATTAATATTTTCCTATTGACATTACTGCTTACTAGGTTAATGATATATGTTAATTTTGCAAACGAGTATTATTTTTGTAACTGTTCTGTATAAATGTTATAAACGATGTAAATATGTTCATTCAGGGCCCCATGGAAGACCACTACTTGCTGGTGAATGGGCTACCCTGTCAAAAGATCAGAAATAAATAAATAAATAAATAAATAAAAAATAAAATTACGCAATATTAGAGGTGGAATTTTATAAAGGCGCGTATATAATCGCAAGTTTTGAATGGAGAGAAACATGTACATAAAATTCATGCGCGTTCTTTCATATTCCTGGATATGGCTAGATCCTTTGAATGAAAAGCGAAAACAAATTATTCAAGACGTCAACATAAAGAAAGAAAGAAAGGAATAACTAATTAAATTTCACATTTTACATGAACAGCATGTTTTGTTTGTTATTGTTGCTGTTGGTGCAATTTCAAATACGAGAATGATCCAAGAGGCACTTAATGGATTCGTTCTATAACTTAAAACATAAGAACAATGACAAAATAAAGCTGGAACATTTTATTTCGCTATGAACAGAAAAAGATCATGTTCGCGATTTGTTATTGCAGAGACAGAGACCAACAGTGATCCTGTTTAAAATAATGTTCCAGGCAGTCAGTCCAAACAAGTATAGTTCATCAACACGCTAGTTCATCGCAATTTCCGCATGTTTCCGCAATGTACTTATTGTGACTTTAGAATCAAAACATCAATTCATAAAAAAAGAATGTTAAGTCCGGACCTATAATATCATGAACCCTGGATCGACCATATTCGGTTCGTAAATATCAGGGTTCGTTCAGGCTTGACTGGTTCGTTCGACGTGAAAACTAGAAGAAGAAGATTTTGGGTACAATTCTCCTGCAAATGATCACAACTGAGAATATAAAATACATGTACCCGCTGATTTTCAAACATAATTATGTAAGGCCTTAATTAATAATTTAGGCAAGTGAATATAATTATTATCCTAAAATACAAGGTCAGATTTCCTCGTATATAATTATTTATGATTCTACGTCGGACACGGGGCTATTTGTCATTATTCCATCTTCATTTTCTCAGTCATCTTTCTTTATGTTATTTTAATCTCTCTCGTTAATCATTCTTATTCTGTTCCTCTGACTATTAATACAGGACCCAATATGGCCTGAGTATATTTAGGACATTGAATATGCATGTACATGTTTCATTCTGAAAAAAGGGCTCGATTTTTTGGCGTAATTTTATAGATTTATGAATATTCTATTTCAGATTAATTTTTTTTTTAGAGTTTATTATGAGTCGCTCTCCTTTATCTTCACTCCCTCCCCCCTCTCTCTCTCTCTCTCTCTCTCTCTCTCTTCTCCCCCCTCTGACCTAACCCCTGCCTGTCTGTCTGTCTCTGTCTCTGTCTGTCTCTGTCTCTCTGTCTCTCTGTCTCTCTCTGTCTCTGTCTCTCTCGTCATCCATTCTCGTTTTGTTTCTCTTTATAATACAGGAATGGGTATGCACGAGTGCCGCGAGGAAGAGCACCGAATCATCCTGAACAAATTGTTTTCGGATCAGGAGCTAGCTATTCTCTCATTATTCTGTCTTCTTTTCTTTTCCTCTCTCTCTTCACAGCTTATACATCATTTTAATCACTTGTTATTCACTCTCTTCCATTCATACATCAGGGATGGGTATGCAAAAGAGTCGGGATGATAATGTTCAGGGATATAAATATATTATCGTGTCATAACGTTAGATGTTTGCGTATCATATGAACATTCTACCTGAGATCAGGGCCTTTCCTGTTATTCGGTCTTCATTTTCTCTCACTCTTTTCACTTTTTAATATTTTTTGAGAACTTCGTTTAACTATTCTAATTTTGTCCACCTTCCCATGCATACAGGGATGAGTATCTTAGAGGGTCAAGAGGATATCTTCGAGGAGCTTCGAGCCAAGTTTCTACCTACCTTCAAAGCTAGCTGCTGCTTCTGGAGCGTGGCACAGGTATTTGATACTTCACACGAGACCGACAGCAGACCGACAACAGGCCAAAAGCACGCTGATTGAAGACCGACAGCAGATCTACAACATACCGACAGCAGACCGACGACAAGACGACAGCACACCAATGACAGATCTACAGCATACCGACAGCAGAACGACAATAGACCGAAGACAAGTTGACAACACACCAACGACAGATCTACAACATACCGACAGCAGACAGACGACAAGTCGACAGACACCAACGACAGATCAACAACATACCGACAGCAGACCGACAGCAGACCGACGATAAATTGACAGCACACCAACGACAGATCAACAACAAACCGACAGCAGACAGACGACAAGACGACAGCACACCAACGACAGATCAACAACATACCGACAGCAGACTGACAATAGACCGACGACAAGTTGACAATACACCAACGACAGATCTACAATATACCGACAGCAGACAGACGACAAGTTGACAACACACCAACGACAGATCTACAACATACCGACAGCAGACAGACGACAAGTTGACAATACACCAACGACAGATCTACAATATACCGACAGCAGACAGACGACAAGTTGACAACACACCAACGACAGATCTACAACATACCGACAGCAGACAGACGACAAGTTGACAGCACATCAGCGACAGATCAACAACATACCGACAGCACACCAATGACAGATCTATAAACATACTGACAGCAGACAGACAGCAGACCGACAACATACCTACTACAGACAGACAACAGACCAACAGCAGACCAACAGCAGACCAACATCAGACCAACAGCAGACCAACAGCAGACCAACAGCAGACCAACAGCAGACCAACAGCAGGCCAAGAATGATAATAATAATAATATTGGCATTTATATAGCGCTCTTACAGACATACATGTGTATCACAGCGCTTTACAACATATTATTATTACCCCGGTCATCGGATTCAGGCTTACCCGCACACAAGGTATGCACATTCTCCACTCCCTGGGGAGCATTCCAGCCAGTCGCCATTTTACAAGCGCCACTTGCTAATCAAACCACATTAGCTTTCGCATCCTACCGGGTACCCATTTTAACACCTGGGTGGAGAGTGGCAAATGTAGATCAATGTCTTGCCAAAGGACATTAGTGCCGCGGCGGGACTTGAACCGCGGACCTTGTGATCCACAGTCCGGTGACTTATCCACTCGACCACGACACCAAAAGCAGACCGACGACATATCGAAAGCAGACTGACAACAACACCACCTACCAACCCTCCCCCTTTTATCAATATATGGATATGCCACTTATAATAAATGGTTTATTCAAATACTTTTGACCATCCTTCCACCCCTCCCCCGTTTATCAACATGATTATGGACACGCTCCTTGAATAAATGGTCCTCATTTATGATTTGACAAATGCTTTATTGAGCCTGTTTCAGAGGCCATGGTTAGTTTCTTTTCGCTCCTGATGTTTGCTCCCCTTGATAATGAGAGCCTAAACGATCATTTTGGCTTAAATCAAACAGTCTTGAGTCTACATCGACTTGTATACTTTGTCCTCCCACCTCCCTGATCCACTCAATCTCGAACTGCATAAAACTAGAACATAACCGCGCCTTTGTTGTTTACCAAAAATGAACAACGTAAGTTTGACATTCGTGTTTTTTGTCCCTTTAATAATATACAAACATCTTTATTTTGTATTTCTCATGATTTTAGAATATTCGAAATACATGTGCTTTAACATTTTGATTTAGATTTTGAATGTGATTCTTATTTTGATATTTGTTGTCTTACTGGGGAGTGCAATATTATTCCTATAAATAAGCAAATAATTATTTTTTTAAATAACAATTTTTCTCTCATCTAACCTAAGCAAATAAATAATCTGTAGTGTATTTTATTACAAAAATGACGTTTGCCAAAAGGGACAAGTCATGAATTACAAAAATTAAATGTCTACTAAATTTCTTGCACTAACTTTAAAATTCACCACCGATAATTCATCGAGTCGATGAAGTCTTCGTCTCCATAGAGATAAAGCACTCATTCGAGTGTCATGATCATTTTGCAGAATAATTGCTAAGAGACCCGAGTACGTGTACAGTTTAACAGGGGCCAATGCGGGGTTTTGTAAAAGAGGGGTACAACATTTCTAACGTTGCTGACAACCAAATACCCCCCCCCCCAAAAAAAAAAAAAAAAAACAAAAAAAAAACAACAACAAACAAAAAAAAAAAAAAACAAAAAACAAAAACAAAAACACAACAACAGTCGCCTCAAAAGGAGGAGGAGCACATTTTGGGACTTGTGTATTTAAGATATATCACTTGGGGCTCAAGTGATTTTCGAGTTTTAGTGTAAATCTTGTGTGATGTCATAAACTGCTACCTAAGCAATAATATTCCGCGTTTCAGTGAGCTTTGCCCGGGCAGAGTTCATTTGTTTATGTGCTGAAGCGACAAGCATCAATGCTTTTCGATAACACTTTTCATAATCACTGACTAAAATCCGGGAAACATACATGTAGGTATTTTCATAATGCAACTCCCTGAGGGAGTGGGTATTAATGAACACATCAACTTTCTGTCGACAGTTTGCAGCATTCCTTTTGTTTACATTACTGCAAAAAACTAGTATACTTAATAGTTCAATGAAATTTATGTGAACGAACATGACGCACGTACACGAATTCCCTGGCCCATAACTTCTGTTTCAGTATAATGGCATGTGTCCCTTAATTTTGTGTGTGTTACAACTTTGCAACTTACTTGCTATTTTTACCCAGAATATTGCAGTTTTCATAACCAGAGGCGGCCCTCCCGGAGGGCAGGGGGGGGGGGGGCACAGTGCCCCTCCACTTTTTCAGATACCCCCAAAATGCCCCTTTTTACATAGGAAAAGTGCCCCTTTTATTTTGTAAGAAGTGCCCCTTTTACATAGGAAAGGTGCCCCTTTTACTTTGACAAGTGCCCCTATTACTTAGTAAAAGTGCCCCTTTCCCCTTTTCACCTCTGACGAGTGCCCTTTTTGTTTTTGACACGTGCCCCTTTTCCTTCGACATGTTCCCCTTTTCCTTTGCAATAAATGTTCATTTTCCATTCTCATGAATCTTGAAATTATCTTGAATAAGTGCCCTTTTTAATCTCTAGTAAGTGCCTCTTTTCAGGTACGAGAAGTGCCCCTTTTCATTTTTAATAAGTGCCCCCTTCACCTCTGATGATTGCCCTATTCAAAACTGAGAGGTGCTCTTTTTACTTTGACAACTTCCCCTTTTTTCCTTTGTAAGAAGTGCCCCTTCTCCTTTTAATAACTACCCCTTTTTTAAACTCGGATGAGCGCACCTTTCATTTTAACATGTGCCCCTCTTATTTTCTAATAAGTGCCCCTTTTCCTTATGATAAGTGCCCCCATTAAAAAGAGAGAGCTCCTTCCCCTTCTCATAACTTCCCTTCTCCCTTTCTAATAAGTGCCCCTTTTCCTTATGATAAGTGCCCCCATTAAAAAGAGAGAGCTCCTTCCCCTTCTCATAACTTCCCCTTCCCCTTCTGCGCTCGCTCGCGTTTAAAGATTATATAATTATGTTACTAATCAAAGGTCTTTTCAGTCTTCCGTTATGAGAATGTGCTTATAACCCCATCACGATTGGCTTTTTTCCTCTTTATAAGATGTAATTTTTCGCACTGCGACCTCACAGATCTTTAAAAATTTTCTCGCTCGCTTAGCTCGCTCGTAAATGCATATTTAGACATCACACCCAACTGTAAAGTTTGATGCTTAAGCGATATCTTGTATGATGTATGAAGAGAAACAAATATTGAAATCATCCCTGATAATGTAATCACAATGTAGGGATATATACCAATGTCTAAAAATTGTATATTTTCGCTTTGAGATTTCCCACTGTAGGTGCCCTTTTTTCCAGAAAGTGCCCTTTTTTTGTTGGTGCCCCCCCCACTTTGAAAGTCGCTCGGCCGCCCCTGTTCATAACAGTTTCAAAGTCAATTTTTATCTTTCCAATGATATACATATCATATTGATTATTATTTTGAATTTTGCCTTCTGACAAAAATGAATATTCAACTTGTCTTTATATTGATATTTTCCGTTAATAGTTTGATTCATCATTTAAACATTCTTTCTCCTTTTAGGTATTCAACTTCTTATTCCTCCCAACGTCTCTACGCATCGCCTATATAGCATCACTCAGCTTTGTGTGGACAAATTTCTTAGCCATCATGAAGAGAAAAGTAAGGATTTTTAATTTACTTGATGTATGATTGCACTGAGCTTGACCACGGGCGTATAGCTTTGTTATATGTCATGATTGTTTTACGAAAATGAAGAAGGAAATTCGTTTCTTCTTTCCTCCTCCTTCTTCTTCTTCTTCTTCTTCTTCTTCTCCTCTTTTCCTTACTGATTCGGAAAAGATTTCACACGCAGGCTTTGATTTTTACTCGTTCAAGACGTCTTAAGGTTTGGCTTTTAAGGATAAAAGTAATTGTTTTCAGTAATATGTAACCTTGATGAAGATTTTCACCTTCAAACAATAAATATGCCCAAGCCTTTGTGAAACCTGTTGCTTTCCATATGACCGATATTCCAATTATACACCAGGGACTTTTAGATTCGCACGAAGACAATGTGGATTGCTACGGTCGACGTCATTTTAATGCACTGCCTTGAATGGACGTCACACTTATCAGTCCACGCAAATCTAAAAGTCCCTATTACCTCAATTACGACGCCTAACCGACCCCAAACCGACTGATTCCTGGCTATTTGGGGGTAATGTAAATTTGTCTCGGTCGGTTGTCGGACTCAAGTTCGACGACATCTCATTGAAACACTGACTGAGGAAGTTTAAGAAACAAAGGAGATAATAAAGCTGTATACTGTTGACCGTATTGACAATGGTGCATCGGCTATTGTGTATTCTTTGTATTAACTAGAAAATGTTCCGACAAATGTTTAAACAAAAGCTTTCGGTGGTAGTATAGGCAAACATTCTTACGTATAATTTGCTATCGAGGTTTTAAAGGAGCGAGTGGAATACCGGTTTACTAACATTTGCAAATTGTATGAATACATTTTAAAACAAGGGTTGTTCCTGACATCATAACGGCTTGTCCGAGGCTTGCCCGACAACAAAAACAACAACAAGTAATATATGCAGACTGGATTACAAGTATAGTCCATTCAATTATAACAGGTTAATTGAATAACTCGTCGCTAGGTCCCCAGGAAAGAAATCATTCATAAATGTTAATAAACCGGTCAATCGGGTTGTATCACAGACCTCTTTCGTATATATGATTGTATATAATGTCCATTATTGTATCGTTGCGGGGAATTTTCAAATCATTGTTAAAAGGAGTTCATCAAGTCATGCCAGGGATCGCTTCATTTGGAGGGGAAATCCCGACGGTAAAATAATGGAATCTACATGTGTACTCTCAAAAGGGTAGGTCAAACCGCTAACCTTGGAGTTGTTCTCCTTATATTTCGCAGTGGATTCCACTAGCCTCAACACGTAGCAATCCCTAATATGCATGACTCCCCCAAAAAGTAAATTTACACTACTCTGCATGAAAAAAAATACTGTGATAAAATATCGTGATCAATCAAATCAAATTTAAAATAAATCGAAGTAATGTTGACGATTTTTACAATCTTTACGTCCATAAAAATTGTTATCGTTTAAATTGGTGCTCCAAGTTCGATACGAGCAACCTAAATAAACAAAGATCTGTCATAAAGTAGGCGAGCTAAGGTCCATTACTCAAGTGCAAAAAGCATTACAAGGAGTATGAAAAAGAGCAAATTGGCCGTTGTAAATCAAATAAAAGCTTATTAGTAATCCGAGAGATATAAATTTGGCACCCCTCAAAATTATTGTTTCTATATAAAAGGTAACAATGCACGTTTACCCTCGGGCTTTATACCCAATAAAGATACGCATCTAAAGTTTGTAAACAATCTGTTGTCTATATTTAGAGTTTTCGGTTAATGGGGTGATCTTTCACACAGATACATTTCACACAGATACATTAAAAATGTTATTATCAGGACCGTTTACACCGCAGAAATAGCAATTTGAAAAATTAAAGAATATAGATTTACAAAAAATCAGTCGGTGGCATCGTATTGAGCTTTAAATCTTACTTAGGAATCCGCATTTACATGAGGATGAACATCATTTTCCTCTCTCTATGTCACTGTCTCTCTCTCTCTCTGTCTCTCTGTCTTTCTCTCTCTCTGATGTATGAGGAGGAGAGTTACCGTGCAAGAAATAAACTGTTGTATATGACTTGCTGACCGGGCGGGGCTGATTGTTTGCTCATTTCACTTTTTTAAAATATTTAAAAAAAAATATTTTCTTATCTTGAATGATGTCTTTTTTTTTTCTCTATTCACATTTATTTAATTTTCTTTTATCTCAACAGGATATCCGATGACGCTGATCACTGTACTCTGTGGTTTAACACAGTCTTACGCAACTTGCAGGCGACGGTACACATGCTATTCTAGCTTAAGCCTCGGTCACAAATGCCATTACGAACTGCTACGAACGCCGTACGAACGATTTTCAGACAATGGAAATTCGGGAAGACAATGGAAAAACAGGGAGATTCGTACGAAATTTTCGTTCGTACGAACCTTTGTGACCGTAGCTTTAGTTCTGCTCCAATTCAAGTTCGGCATTCTCAGGGCATGGACACGAGTATAGTGGGAGATGTACCGGATATTTTGGAACACATTGTTCCTAAAGTTCTGAATTTGGCCATGTGTTGACCATACCATATAAATTATGAGTTCTGGCTCTATAAAAGAAGGACACTGGTGAGAGCTAGAAGAAAAATCACCTCTGTATTTTAGTTGGTTTGAATAATAGTAATGCCCTTCTGAATCTTAGCAGGGAAGATAGGTCACTCTCCTTCTTTGTCGAATTCTGGTGCCGAGTTGGATCCGAGCTAGTTCGGCACGATTCGTAGAGAGCTCGGGTTACAAGACAAGTAAGTTCGGTATTAACTCTCGTATCGCTGCATGAACATGTGAAACGTGAGCGTCCCTTGCCAGGAATCTACCGCCCGAAAGCTTTAATTTGGAGTTCGTCAAAAGACGGTGAAGTTCGTGTCTGAAAGGCAAGATGTTTTGATCGCACAAAATAAATAACATTTAGCGGCGGAAACATATTTTGTGACGTTAGACCACTAGTTGAGTTGTGATTAAACTACTATTGTGGACACTATATTTATAAATACTTTTATATTGGGGCCATGGTGCATACTTCATTTAGATACAATACATTTTTACTACGCAATGTTCGAGATCTCGACTACTTATCATGATTTCGTTGAGTGAATTTAAAATGCTCTGCACATAAATTATGTTTGAGGCAATATTTTGTGGATTATCGGCAACCAATTTCGTCTGTTATCATAGAAATATTTATGTACATATTACGAATCTCTCAAAATTACGTTTACACTGCATTTATGTCACGTGTATGCTTCTAATACAACAGTTATCACAGCATGCCAGATTCGTTGCCTGACATAGCAACACATAATGTCTGTAACCTATATTTTTCAGTGAATATCGAAAGACTTGTACGGGTGAATGTAATATACATGTGTAATAGTAGTCCGTCACTATCTATATATCTATATAGTCTTAATCTGAACATATTTGATAGCGCTTGGTTATTGTAGAAAAATGAAGAAACATAAGAACATTGGGGAACAAAATTCAGAGACTTCGACGTCGGGACAGTCACGTGACTTGAATACATGTACATGTCTCGAATGTGTCATAATGCTATCAGTGTTCGATCAACAGCGCTTTTTCAACTCTTTGTTCAAACTATATATAAACGTGCTGTTGACGCTTAATCAGATTGTTTGAAAAGATATGTTTACCTACGTCCTTGAAAATGACGTTAATTCTGCGTTGCGTGGTTGTTATTTAGCCTCAACATAGAAGAAAAGTCAGTCATGCAAAATTAAGACGAAAGTGCATGTCGGTATAATTCATGCGCAACACACATAAACAAATAAGTGTCGTGTAATCATTCAGTGTATTGCTGATAATGTTTTTTTCCTTCTATTTTCGGTGCCTTAAAAACAAATCCTTTTCAGATCTGTTGACATACTTTGTGACTTTAACGTATTATGCTGGTAATCTTGATCACACAGGCTTAATTGGTATGTGTTTTGGGCCGAATACGCCCCTCTCATGTGACCTAAGCCAACTGTGGGTTAAAGCCCCACTGTACTACTTGTAGCTACTTGCTCCTTCTATATAGAAAACAATGCCTAATTGGTGACCATTGGTCCCCCATGATCCTCTTTTCTTATGTTAATATTGAGACCTAAGTTGATGAGATAACCACCTGTCCAGTGACCTTGTAGGGTGGTCAAATCCCTCCTATAAACTAGTACAGATGGGCTTTAAGTGTTGTGTTAAAAGTAGAATACCTGGTTGTATTTGATGAATTTTACAAAAAACATACAAAGACCATGGCTTTGTTTGGGCCGCTTGTTCTTACAGTGTTATATCGAATGAAAGCAAAGAGATCGATTTATAGATCTTCCCGACAACCAACTATCCTTTTTTGTGTTGCTTTTATAGATGTTTATTACGATACCGAAAGCTGATGGCTAAGCCCGCTATAATTTACGCATAGATTATTGAATACAGAGGCTTGTGTAGATATGGTGTGTACGCGGGGATGTGTACTAACCAAGCCCATGGATGTTTTGATTTCCTTGTCTTATTTGAGATTTATTATTTTTCGATATTATCTTAAAAGATAGATAAATATAAAACCAAAAAAAAAAATAACTAAATAATAATAATGCAAAAATGAGAGATATAATCACGTGACAAAAAGTATTTTGGCGACAATAGTCACAGCTGACTAATCGCGATTGAACCAAAACAGAAGAAGAAGAAGAAGCTAGTTCATTAATTTTGTGTTGAACGGAACCGTAATAGGTTTTCAATGTTGTGTTTTTTCTTTCTCGTTAATTATTGTCAAACTTTATTGTATTCATAATGTTATTAGCAAAGTTGTGAATTTGACTTGGCATACCTTTAAGGTTAACAAGCATTTTGTCTATATCCTTATGTAAGAAGGCAATGTGTATATAACTTGAAGGCGCGGATCCAGGGGGGGGCCGAGCGGGCCTTGGCCCCCCCCCCCCCCGCAAAAAAAAAAAAAAAAAAAAAAAAAAAGAGAGAAGAAGGAAAAGAAGGGAGAAAGGGAAAAAGGAGAAAAAGGGAAAGAAAGAAGAGGAAGAAGAAAAGTAAAGGGGGAAGAAGGAGATCGGGGGGGGGGCCGAAAGGGCCTTGCCTCCCAGGCTGTTAACCCCCCCCCCCCCCATCAAAAAAAAAATAAGAGAGAAGGAAGGAAAGGGAAAGAAAAAAAAGGAAAAGAGGAGATACTGGCTTACTGATAGAGGGGGGGGGGGGCTTGGGGGAAATCAAATTCAAACGTGGTTTATTTCTGATTCCACAACGGTGTATTACAAATAATGCTGAAATGACATAATTTCCGAAATTTTTCCTCACTTTTTAGTAAATTATACGTTTGTATGTGTTTGTTGGAAAATAAAAAAATTCCTAAATTTACAACCAGGCAAAAAATATGATTCTTGAGATTCCTACATGTCAGGGCCCGAGGTACGGCGGGGATCGAGAGCCTCGAGGCATCAAAATATGCTCATCTTTAGGTTAGCTACTTTTAATTGTCGGGGTATACAAGATCATGTCAAAAGAAGAAAATTTTTTCATTACTTAAGATCAATTAATAGTGACATAATATTTTTACAAGAAACTCACTCTTCTAAATCAGATGAACAATTTTGGAAACAACAATGGGGTGAAAAAGCATGGTTTTCTAGCCACGCTTCAAATAGTAGAGGTGTAGCCATTTTGATTCGAAATCGGGTGTCATTGGTCCTTAACTCTTCTTTTATTGACCCCGATGGGAGATACCTGATTTTATCTGTTACCATTAATGAGGTACCTGTGATTTTAGTTAATCTCTATGGTCCAAATAATGATGACCCCAATTTTTTTCTTGAAGTTTTCAGTAAAGTGGATAAACTCGATTACACCTCCATTCTATGCGCTGGGGATTTTAATGCTGTTTTGGGGCCCATGGATTATCAAGGGGGTAGGGACACCCACTCAAATTTCAAATCAAAGGAAATGTTAATAACACTTATGGATGAATTTAATCTTTGTGACATTTGGCGCAGTTTTCATCCAAACCTGAAGCAATATACGAGACATCAAAAAAAACCTAGAGTGTTATCCAGGATTGATTTCATTCTTGTTTCTGATAATTTTGTTACCAATTGTTTGCAATCTAAAATAATCCCAGGAATCCAATCCGACCATTCCCTTGTTACATTAAATTTTAAAGGTGCTCAACCACTAAGGGGCCGAGGATTTTGGAAACTGAATTGCAAATATTTACATAATGATGCAGACTTTAGTAGAATTATCATTGACAAAATAGAAGATTTTAAATTAATTCATTCCAAAAGCGATTGCAATCCAAATATTTTATGGGACTCTTTAAAGTGCACCATTACTGGCATTTGTATAGAATATTGTACACGTAAAAAGAAGGAAAAGGATTTTGCAAAAAAATACCTTTTGGCGGAAATAGAAGATATAGAGAAAAAATTAAGTGCTGATTTAAATAACAATGAGCTTATTAATGAAAAGGATTTTTTAACCCAGGCTTTAAATGATATTTTAGATGTGGAAACCAAAGGTTTAATTATTCGCTCACGACTTCGATGGGCTGAAGAAGGAGAAAAAAGCTCCAAATATTTTTGTAATTTAGAAAAAAGAACTGGAGAGAAGAAAAGTATTTTCAAATTAAAGAATGAAGATGATGATATTATTGTTAATCAACACGCTATACTGGAGGAAATTAATTCATTTTATCAAACCCTTTACACAAAACACTGTGGTGACAATAATTCAGATAATGAAATGGAGGACTTTTTAGACTCTATTGAATTCCCTCAATTAAATGAAGTTGATAAGGTTCTTCTTGATAAACCCATCTCTAAAAAGGAATTATTTGATACAATTGCTTCAATGAAACATAACAAGTCACCAGGTTTGGATGGATTACCTGTAGAATTTTATATTGTGTTTTGGAAAGATATTTCTGATATGCCTATAGACTCATTTAATTTCTCCTTACAGAATGGACTAATGTCTAGCTCACAAAGAAACGGAGTTATTACCTTGATTCCAAAAAAAGACAGGGATGCCTCCTACTTAAAAAATTTCAGACCTATATCCCTGTTAACAGTAGATTACAAAATTTTAGCCAAAACTTTAGCAAACCGTGTAAAAAAAATCCTTTCAGATTTGATTCATCCAGACCAATCTGGTTTTTTAAAAGGAAGGAATATTGGAAACAATGTGAGATTAATTATTGATATAATTGAATATACAGAATCAGAACAAATTCCTGGTGCAATCCTTCTCCTTGATATTCAAAAAGCTTTTGATAGTGTTTCCCATGATTTCCTATGTTGTGTACTAAGAAAATTCAATTTCAGTAATGAATTCATTGATTGGATAAAAGTATTTTACTCCGGTAGGAAAAGTTATGTATCTAACTATGGTAATTTGACCAGACCACTTAATATGGAAAGAGGTATTTTCCAAGGGTGTCCCATATCCCCATATTTATTTTTGCTAGTTATTGAATCTATGGCTCTTGCTATTCGACAAAATCCTAATATTCAAGGTATCCCAGTTGCAGAAAATGAACTGAAAATTTCTTTGTTAGCAGATGATTCTACGTGCTTTATTGATGGCTCAGATAACTCTTTTAAATCATTATTCGATACTATTGGGTTTTTTTCTGAGAGCTCTGGCTGTAAACTTAATATTTCAAAATCAGAGGCAATATGGATTGGTTCTTTGAAGGGTTGTCAAAGGTATCCATTTTGTGAGAAAGGTCTGAAGTGGAATAAATTTACTTTTAAGACTTTAGGCATTCACTTTTCTTTGACCACAGATCATTTATATGACCTTAACCATAAGATAAAACTCAAATCCATTGAAAACACCCTAAATTGTTGGCGCGCAAGAAATTTATCTCTGGTCGGGAAGATCTGTGTCGTAAAGACCCTATTGCTGCCACAAGTTCTTTATTTTTTTTCTGTGTTGTGTATTAAAATACCTAAGAAATTTTTTAGACAGTTAAATACAATACTGTATAAATTTATATGGAATGGTGGCAGTGATAGGGTCAAAAGAAGGCTCATGTGTAATGATTACTCTTTGGGTGGTTTAAAAATGATAGATCCATACACATTCTCTATTGCTCAAAAAATGTCATGGGTCAAAATGCTTCTTGATGATAAATATCAAAGCGTGTGGAAGTCCATTGAAATGTCTATTTTAAATAATTTCAGTAGCAGAGAGGATATACTATGGAAAGCATATGCTCCTCAAAGTATATTAAACAAATTAGGTTCATGTCAATTAGCTGAATCCCTTCAAACATGGTATATATTTAGAGAAAATTTTGCTAAAACTGAGTTCGGTACAGTCTTTTCCGCAATTGGCTCTTGTCAGTGTATTTGGTTTAACAGAAATATCTGTTCAAAATCAAAACATTATTTTTTATATGAAGATTGGTTGGACAAAGGAATTGTCTATATCAGTGATTTACTCAACCCTCCCCACCCAGGTAATAAACTTTTTGAAGAGCTTATTCTGGATTATGATATTGGTA